AAAAAAAAAAAAAAAAATTGATGTCTGACATCGCGGAAATCCATAAATAACGATATTTGTACCATTATTGAAAGTGATTGTTAGTAACAACATTATTGGTCCCAGTGATTTGAAGCGTATGAAATATATGGAAATGTAAAAGGTGGACGACGCAGGCAGAAAAATTTCGTGACCGATTAAGGAACTTGATATTCAGTGCTGTCACTATACAACGTATTCATTCATCCAGAGCAATACTTATAGGATAGCTAACTGGTTATTAAACGACACAATAACTAGTTATCACCATTTTGATTATTATGTCTAGAAAATTCTCAGGAATTCAAATCCTGATGTTAAATGATCTGCTGTGTTGATGATACTGAAAAAAGAAGTTGCCGCGAAGCATTATTCCAAACATTTCTGTCAATAAATATGATCTTTTCATGCTAGAGAAAAGATACGTTTCTAAAATTTTATAACGATTGAGAACTTCTAGGAATATTGCTATTAGCGGTGGTCCACTCTGAACAAAATAAATCTAATTGAAAATTAAATCACTAATTTTCTCAGTACTGATGAATATCATAGAATTCGGAGGATCGAGGTGAAGATTCATCTTCTCAGAGATTTGTTATTCTATGAATCCGGTGGAGAAGTTTTGAAAATTTTAAGAATAAATTTTCCAGTAAAAGACAAGAAACTGACGAACTGAAACAGAAAAGAAAATATATGCATATAAAAGAACTATAATTTTGCAAAAAAGATGGAATTTTCAATATGAACAATGTTCAAAAGCACAAATTCATATACAGATTGCGACAACAAAATTCTACGAATTCTATGGAAGTTAAAAAGTATTGAAAATGAATCATCAAATAGCGAAGGTGAAGCCACGTGGGATCAAATTGTTATTTAGTGAAAGATGATTAATTTTTAGTCTTCCCGGATTTTTATATGTTTCGGTTTCCAACGATATTTTTTATGATGCTTCCCTTTTTTTTTAAATATTTAATTTTGACTTTTTATTTGCTTACAAGTATTCTCTTGTCTGATTGTCTTCATCTTAAAAATAGCAAGCGATTAATTAAAGAAGTCTCGTCAAAAAGCAAGTCATGCAACTCTTGTTTTTTTTAAAATTTCATTGAAATCTACTTAGATAAGAAAACGGAAATATTTAGTCTAATTTTAACAAGTTTCATTTTACAGAGAATATCAATCCCCGATCAACTGAAGGTGCTGGTGGCAAATTCAACTTTTTCGGCACTTTAAAAGGTATAGCTTCAAATTTTAGGAAAAATAAATTTCATGTGGAAAAAAAACTAAATTGAGTTGAGTTTTGTGAACTTCTAAATGAGATCTTTCATCTTGTTTCTTCACACTTAAAATCGTCCACTTCTGGATTCTTTTTATACGTTTCTTGGAAAAGTTCCTTACAGGTACTAGTTACTAGTTAGCAAAATTTCCAGCGAATAATCATTCGTAAATATATGATTTTGTTTAATGGATTTGCAGCGGAAACGCAAATGAATCTTTGTTCTCCTCTTCCTGTGACCCTATTCGAAAACATATCGAACAAAAAATTACGAACTTTTTTTCTTTAAACTGACAAATTAAAAAAATGATAGATCTTCAAGGTAGTTTTTTCGACGTTAATGGAATTGATTCAGTGAACAAAAGCCTCGTTCCTTTTCTCACAAATGGACATCGAAAGAGGTCAGTCTATTCATGCTCCAAAAAGGTATTAAATTTGATTTCATTCCTAACATTTGCATCAACAAAATGATAATAATTTCAAATTCAATGAATGAAGTACAGATTGTTCCCGTTACATACTTCACCATCATCAAGAAAATCAACACCAAAATTGACCACGGGACGTATCGATAATCAACTCATTTCATCTTGTCCCCTCACGGATTGCTTCTTTGATGACGTTAACATGTGCAATTACAAATCTGATGATCAGCTCCAAGATGATGAAGATCTTTTGCTGGGTATATTTCATTAGAGTTTTCTTTTTGCCAGTCTTTCCTGAATTTTTTTGAACATCTCGTTATATTAAATATTTTTGATCTGATCTGGAAATGATATTACAGATTTTCAGTCATCATATTTTTACATTTTCATCATAAACAATAGTTTTATAATAGATTTACCTTCGAACAGCATTTTAAAGAAGTGGAAGCTTTCAAATCATAAAATTGCTAATTCTCTCACCGGTATAATGCACGATATTACTGGTGGTATGATTTTTTTGGTTTTCATCATTCTTTTCATTATTCGTATTTGCAAGTCAACGCTTATAAATTACTCAACTGACCAAAAAAAAACTTTTTTTTGGCAAAATATATATGGCCAAAAAAAAATTTTCTCAGGCTTATTCAAAGAGCCAACCAAAAATTGTGATCGGACTTTTTCTGGAATTGAAGCTACTGCAAAATTCCACTTTTTATGCTCAAAATCAGGTTTAGGCTGGTTTCAAACGATAGCTAAGTAATTTAACTGTCTATTACTGGTTCTATTGGTTCTAATTCAAGATGGCTGGTTTGCATATGCTGGCGAAACCAATAATCCAGCAACAATATTCCTTATGCGAACATCGAAAGCGATAAATATACTTGAAGAATCGCGAATTAGCTTCTATACACACATGGCCGGCAAATATGGCCGCTTACGAGTCTGTTTGGATTCTCTTCACAAATGTCCATTTGAAAGGACTGGACAGGCGTTGAGCGTGCAAACGAGAAAGTGGACAAATTTTCATATCAATGTATCATGTGGATTCCACACGGTGAAACAATTTTTATGTTTTTCTAAAAAATGTTATAAAGAAGCTTAAATGTGACAAAAAAAAACCTTTTACAATTTAATAGTGTTTTAATATATTTCAGATTTATTTTGTGGCAGACAAATTAAAAAAGAATTATGTGATTGGACTTGATAATATTCAATTACTAATCAAACATGGCGATATTTCTACTCCATGTGCACAATAAACAAACAAATTATTTGCAAAGCGCTTTTTTGGACCGACAATTACTAAATCATTAAAATACCATCAAGACTTCCCGATTGTTCTATGCGATATTTTTAGCTCAATAAGTTGTCGAGAGGTTACTTCTGTTAGTTACAGAAAGTGTAAAATGAATGAGCACTTGAAAACAACATCTGATCAGATTTGCATTGAAACATTTCTGAATAGTATATCGATCGTTTGTTTTATCAAGTCGAGCAGCTCCCGACTTCAAAGTGCGCAACTGAAAATGATAAAAATTATCAGTTGAAAAGAACACATCTTCTGATCAAATATATTTCGGTGTAAAAATTTTGGACACACACTTGCAGTCTTTTGTTTGTTAATTGCAATTTCCTAACGCATGCTGAGAAACATATTTGTAAATTTTGTATTTGAAGTTTGATAAAATTAGTGTTTGGTTAAACATTTTAGGAAGATAGGCCAAAGTGTCAAATCCAAAATTAAAAAAAAAACATCACAGATGACGCAAAACTTTCCTATCAATAGAATAAGTATAAATGAAGTCAGGAAATGAAAACTTCATATTTTCCTCCTCTTTCCTTCTTCAACGCCCACTTTTTACTATTCCTGTCATCCATCCTAATTCTCACTTTAACCTATGATTCCTTAGACACAAAAAAATTGACATTATTTTTCAACAATACTATACAAGTTTTGAAATCTTGAAAATATCAGAAAAGACAATTGGAACTACTTCATTATTACAAGCCACTCTAATGAATATATTTTTTGTTTATGCTAATCGTAGAACAATAAAATCTAGAAAAAATTTTTTTTGTAAAGTATTTTGGTTTTGTTCCAGCCCAACGAAAATGAACAATATAATGAATGACTTACAATAATTTTCAAGCAAACTTTTGGTCATCACTGTCGGAAACGCATTTGAGCAAATATATATGTGCTGATACAATCAGTTTGTCCATCAGATATATTATGTTGATAAAAACAGTTATTAATTTGATTCACGTGCACAGAATTCTAATTTAATTAACAAGTGATGGTTTTTCCACGATCCTTAATGTTTGAAATTCATCCTTTTCTTGCATCAATCAGATGATTCGTGATTATTTTTTTCACAATACAATATTTGACGGATTATTTTTTTTCTTTAAAAATTTGTAAATCTACGGTTAGCTAATTTGCATATATCTTTTAAAGCTAGCGTGACAAAAATTGCACTTCTCGCAATTTCCACAAAAACAAAAGCAGTTTATGCAGTTGGCTTCTAGAAATGACCAAAAAAATCATACAGTCCTTCTAGAAAATATTACTTGTTGCAAAAAAATTCAATATGAAAAAATTAAAAAGATGCATATTATTTTTAGGAAAGGTTGTTTGATTTTAGGCAATAATTTTAGTTCATTAAATTGGTCAATTAAATTCAATAATCAATGGTAGCTATTAAAAACATATTCATCAGTAAATACTAGCAGTAAAAGCAATATTCATAAAATACAAAAGATTTTGAATTTGGAAAATTTTTTAATACATCTCAGAAGATCTATCATATATTTTATAATTGAACGAGTTTGCCTGTCTATAATATTTAATAACCAATTTTGGTTGAGAAATACAGAAAAAGGAATAAAAGGAGTAAATTTCACACTCTATTGATTTTGCTTAATATTTCTTAATTGAGATAATCCTTTCACCCGAAAGGCCTGTTTTCTAACAAATCTTGTATTATTCCCATGTTTTCATTTTGCATTTCCATATGACGTCTTAAAATCCGGTTATTTTTTTCTAATTAATCATTATTGTTATTCACTATTGTGGAAGTAATTTGCGCACAATGTATGCAACTTATACTCTATCAAACTTTTTAAATCATATAATACTTGAAATCAAGTAAATTTAACAACTTCATTACTTTTTATCATTTTTTTCTCGCATTTTATAAAAAAATTCATTTTCAGTTCTCGAATGATCCATAATTGCTGGTTTTCAAAACAATAAGCTAAAGGGAGAGAAAGAAGGCCATTTTAATCATTTTAAAAGACTTCACTTGATAAAAATGAAAAATCAAATTAATGTACTGGAGGATTCAGGAAATGTTTCAGGAAATTAATTTGAAGTGATTAATATCGCATTCATTGTTCTTTTGCTCATTTCAAATATTTTGTAAAAAAATAATAGTTTCAATATCTGCATATCTTGATACTTTTTGAACTATTGAGAATTACAAGAAATATTATACAATAGAATTTGGAAATTAAATTAAAGCGACACTCTAAGAAATTAGTCAGTGCTTGTTAAGTTTCATTTAACAGACATTTATAGTTGCATGGTATTAGAATAGCCAGTAAAATTGTCGCTCGAATGATTGTTTATGCTATTCGAAAATTTCTGAAATAACTTGTGAACTAAGTGGCAAATTTGAAAAATAATCACCACTTTTTGCTGTTTTACCGGAAATGGAGACTTCGAAAAATGGATTAATTAGTGAATTGACTTTTATTAATAAGAGTACGAGTTTTTACAAAATGGAAAGTTCAATGCAAAAGAGCCGCAGAAATCATAGTGATAATACGTACTGATTCAGCGCCTTCTATTAAAAGTCTTGTTTCTGACAGTTGCCACAATTCAAAATACTTGACAGTTTTTAAAATGGCATTCCGGTTTTTTAAAAACAATTGGGTTATCTTATCAATGTAACACCTGTCCATTAACAAGGTCTTTAAGCAGCAATAATTTTGACTGAAGAGACTGATCATAAACGCTACTTCATGATATCAATCAACACCACTCTAATCATCGGGAAGTTATTTTTGCAATTACTTTCAATTGATTCAGGTAAATTACTTTCAATTGATTCAGGTAAATTTATTCCTTTCCCTTTCCTAACCGCATGAATTGCATTTTCAATGGATCTCGGATGAATGATGCAATAATTTAATTGGTTGTTCTGCATACGACAGACATCCTTGTATAAAGGGACATATATCTGATTTGAGAGATCTAAGATGAGGGGAAAGAAAGGAGGACAAAAAAAAGTATGTAACTTGAATGAGGGTATCAACAATGGGGTTTCAGGTTCTGGGGTAGTTCTTTGGGGGATAGTGCACTTAGGTGGAAATAGGGGGGATACCTTTATTTGAGCGACGTAGGGACAGACACACATACACGCCATACGCACACATTCTTCGACAGGAACAAAATTATTCGTTGAACTAGGTCATAAGGCAATAGTTGAAGGAGAAAGAGGTCATAGGGGAGAGATCCATCCAGTGACAACCAACATTTTCGTTGTTTCTTGGAAGAAGTACGACTCTTCATCATTCTCTTTGTGTGTGTGTGTGTGTGTGTGTGTGTGTCTGTGTCTGTGTCTGTGTCTGTGTCCTCATATACCTGTTTGTTCAACTGTCTAAAGTTTGTCTTTCTAGTATGTATGTCTATAGAAACATCTGAATCCAAATTCACCGGATCCATCTATCCAGCCATCCTTACTGCGCTCAGCAGTTCCAATCAACGTAATCATCCCTGTTGTTTCTCTCGTGGAGCTGTCGCAAAGAGGACAATTATTGAATCGTTATCCAAATTTGCTACATTTGCTAATAATTTACTGGAACCATAACATCACAACCAGATATCGGACAGAAAGAAGGCTGTCATCATCTCATTCCTTATCAATCACACATTCAGCAGCAGTTTTTTTCTTCTCATCCCCCTTTTTTTTCGAAAATTTTCCATCTTTTAAATATTTGGATAGCGTAGCAAAGCAAAGCATCTCATATTCATTGTAATCCACAATTACGATCCTGTAGGTTGCTGATATCTGTAGTCAGCTGTTGGCTTATCATCGTTATCACTATTCCGAAATCTATTGGTTATTTCTGAAGCAGGTCCGAATGTTACCTATTGTTATGTTCGTTTTTGCATCACTGACAACAACTTTATTCCGATTAGGTATGCTTTTCATTTTTCATAGAGAAAAACTAGAAAAAATTATCAATTAACATAGTGCTAAAAAGCATAAAATCTATTGCACCTCTCTATTTACATCTTTACCATCAGCTTCTAAATTTTCAAAGTGAAATTGTTTTAAAATTTAAAAAAATTCCATTTTAATCACTATTTCATTAATCCATACATGTTATTCTGGAGTTACTCTGTGAAATTCAACAGAAGCATACATGTGCGTATTTGTGGTAGCATTTTCAAAAAATTAATTGCAACTTTCAACTCGATTTTTTTTAAGAAGATATGTTCAAGCTTTGGAATTTAGGAGTATTCGAGGAGTTCCAATGGTTTTAACAGGAATTATCATTTAAGAGCATATCAACTGAACAGTTCAATTCCAAGTAGGAAGTATCAGGTAGTTTAAGGTCAGCTGGTTTAGATTTTTGTACCTTCTTAAAGTAGCATTTCATATCAAGATTATCACAGATTTTGTACAAGTTTACAACCATTTCAAAATTTATTAAAGAAATATTCATGAAATCTGATTTCCAAACAAAGGAGGAGTTTTAGCTATTTTATTTATTAAAAGTTAATACTTTCTTAGTATCATTTTTTACATTTTTTGCAAATATGGTAGCATAAGATATTCCTCAATTTTTTCTTTTGATGGTTTTAAATGTAAATTGATCTTTTACAAATTTTATTTATATAAGACTAATGCTGAAATCTATGGATACATCATAATTAAGCCAACATTTAATTACTGGATTTGCTCGAAACTTTTTTAAGAATTTCGTAGTTTTACTGAGAATATTTAAAAGACACTTGGGCTTCTATTTTTAAAATGATTTTTTACCTATCAAATAATACCACAACAATAGTAATAAATGTTTTAACTAAACTCAACTTTGTTTAAAATCCAAGTGGACTTAAGGGTTTTAAAATAATATTTTTACTTTTTGAATTCTTAAAAATATTTTAATCCCTACTTTATCTTTTGAAAAATTTGTCCACATCGAACAAAAAATCTTCTATCCAGAAAACTTTCTCAGTTTCTCATTTATTGTTCTTAAAGTTTTCTTCGGCTAAGAAAAAATAATATACGTCACATGGACAACATTTTCAAAAATACATTTAGTAAAAACGGGAAAAACAAAATTTGGATCTGAATTGGAAATTTTTGCGAAAATTTTAGTCTGAAGTATTTGAGAAATTCAATGACAACATCAAGATGGATATTAGTGATATAGTTATGAACAACACCACAAGGTCGCCGTAATTCTCTCATTTATACCGCTGTATTTCGTTCAGCTGAGACATTAACTGCATCCGTTATGAATTGGTTTCAGAACATTAGATTGATTCAGATCGCTTAATACGTATTTTACAATTTTTAACAAATTCAGCAACTTTAAATTGATGATTCACACAGGCACAAAAATTGATGGAAAAGAATATTTGAAAGAAAATATCTAGGGAAATGAATATTTTTAAAAATGTGGATAACTTGACCTACATGAATTCGTTTTTTTCTGGAATGACTTCTCCGTTTCAGTTAAAAGAAAAAAAATTTCCAATGTCTTGTAACCACAATACATTTAATGTGAGATGATATTGAAATGGCATCTATCACATTGAAAAACTCGCTTCCCTAATTTGAAAATAATTTCCTCATGTTTTCGCAATTTTTGAAAGCAAGAAATGTTGACAGTTTATTTGCAAATATTATGAACACATTTTTAGAGTATCAGAGAATATAGTTCTAGCATCAAAGATAGATGGCACATACTTCATTCTACCATAATATATCTCCAGATATATCTCCAGAATTTCTGCAACATACAAATATATCTATCTTAAATATATCCAAGAGATTTTATTTCAGTATTTTTTCCTGTATTTTTCTCTTCATAAAAAGACACATAACTTGTTTCAGGGTAGTGGCACTTATGTAGTTATTTAATTCGAGGGCAAAAACACAAGTAATAGAAAAATGAGGCAGTTCAATTGACGGGATTAATGAAATTGAAATTTAACCCAATTTCCACACCATTCCAGTTGTCAGCAAATTTAGAAAATCAAAGATCGTAACATTTCCTTTTCTTCAAACAGCAAGTATATTAGCGATTAAGAAAGTTTTTCCTTCAAAGTCGTTTACATTTCAATTTCAACATCCTGTAATGAATTTTATGCATAGGATAACTTCTACAATAATCAGGATTGTTAATTTATAATGAAGTATAAATCACATCCAGAAAATGGCTTAGATAAATGATATCAGTTTCTACCTCTCCAATGAAGACGTAATGTGCTTAATTCCACAGAAGATTATTGAGTTTTTTTTTTGTTTTCTTTTTTGCAATTTATTAAGAAAATATGTCGCATATTCTTCAATAATTCACTAACGGATCGTGGAAATTAAAATCGAATTCCGCTGAATTCGTTGTTCACCTCTGACCCAATTTCGATTTCGCGAATGTAAGTAATCCTTTATCATTGCCGACGGCTCAAATTTTCCCGAATTTTCCTGCGAATAATGGATAAAGCAAAAGATCTCATTATGCAATCGGTTAAATACAATTATTTTGCAAAATATTTTCTACAATAGAATACATGATACTTAGCATGTGCAATAGTTGTAAAGTAGTTTTTCTTACATATAAATGAAGAATTAATCTTTTCAAAGCAGCCTATGATACTATACAAGGACAGAAAACATTGTAAGAATAATAAAGATTTCAATTTGACAGTTGTTGCATTCCCAATTATTGTTTATTAAAGTTTATTAACTTTAAAAAGATTGCGATCAAAACTAAATTTCTTAATGAGTTCTCAGTGTATTAATGAGCTTTAACCGTGAATACCTACAGATCTTCGACAAGGAAGTTAATAATAGCAGAAATTTCTCACCTTATTCTTATCATCATATTTTTTGGACTACTGTTTTCATTCGTCCATTGTTATCATCGGTCAAATTTCAGGAGAAAGCTGTATTAGTACGTCACCACGAGCATTTTCACCTGGAGCATCAGTACAGCAGTTTAATGCTATTCCACCTCCTCCAGCTGGTGGTGCACCGGTCGGTCAACCACAGGGAGTCGCACTTGTTGCTGCACCACAACAAGTGCCTAACAATGCTCCTGTTGGTGTAATTAGGCCTGCAATTTCAGCTGCCGGTCGGGGACCTATTGAACCGATCCCACAACAACAGCTTCTTAATAGTAAGTTTTTAGTAGCTAGATTTACATTTGGAACATTTAGCTAAAAAATATTTTTCGTGGATTACTTTTGATCTCTTAGATAGGTTTTCGTCTTCGATTTTACATCTTGATATTGTCTACCAAACTCATTTATTATATGCGATCATTTTTGAAACCTCCTTTTTTCTTTAGATTTCAAACTTCCCCTGTCCAAAAAAATTTATGAGAAAATTATGCTGAAATTAACATTGATAAAAGTTTCAACTAATTTCCATCGCCTAATTAAATTACAATCCATTTTTTTATTTTATTTTATAATCTTAACATAGACTATTTGTGGTTTATTTACCTTTCCAGTTTAATTGGTTCGGTGATCGTATTTTAGGATTTTTCCATGTTTTAACATAAGTGACAGAAAAGTAACAAAATTGAACATGCAATTAATCTAAAGTCTAGACAATAATGCAAGACTGCAAAAAGCAACATATTGACAGAACGACATTGACTGAGTCCTTCCAAATGAAATGCAAAAGTTGTACTTTGTTTGTTTAACTGACTTACGCCATCGTAAACGAATTCGGGCAGCCTCTTTTAGTTGAAAATTTTATTTTTACTACAACGAGTAATGAATGTGACGGATAAAAAGAGAGTGACAACCTTTTGATAAATTAAAAGACATCCGAAGAATGGTTATCTAACTGCCATGACAAAAAAGCACAAATAGTGTTGAAAGCACTCACTAACTCTCCTCTTCCTATTACCTTTATCCGGCTTCTTTTGTCTCAAGTATAAAACGTTATCAAATAATTGGGTCATTTGAATGAATGTCAAATAACAGAAGAGGGGAAAATTTCATCAGTTGAAATATGTGTGGGAGATTTCTTCTCATTTCTTGTGCTATTCCATGATACTGCGCAGATGAAAGTGACTGAAAAAGTAAGCAAGACTTTGGATCGATCGATTAGTTATTTTGAAAGCAAAAATTTCTGGTAATTGCAGAAATTTTAAATCATTCTTCAAAAAAAAGTTCCTTTATAGGTCTATTAGGATCAAGAATTACATTGCATGAATTTGATTCAAATGGATATAACGCGGAAGGAGGTGGTCCAGTTGCAGTAGGTAATTGCTTTTTTACTCTTTTATTTTGCTCTATTTCCAGAATGAGATTTTGCGTGAAGGATATGAAGAAAATTGTTGTTTCAAATTCTGAAAGTGTGGATAGAACCGCTTGCACATACATGTATCGCGTTCAGCACTGTTCAGCTTTTTTTTTCTGAAATAATATTATTAAACAACCAATCCTCTCGCTGCTCAAGTATTTTTTTATTTATATGTAATTCTTCAATTCCTGAATTGTGATTATTGTGAAAAAGAATTATAACAGTTAAATTATCATACGGTAATAGTAATAAAACACAATATGAAAACAAATGAGATAGCGCATGATTTTTGAATTTCTAGGCGAAGCATTGTCTTGTGATTTCGATTTTCGTCCATGTTGCTGGGCTAATGTTCCACCACCAGATGACCAACTTGACTGGCACTTAGCTAATGGCGCACCTGATTCACCGCAGTTCCGGAATGCGCCTTTTCCAAGTATGTTCTTCATCCATGATTAAATGTATTCATAACTGGTGCAATTTAAATGGTGAGTTATTGAGGTCCCTCTTTTCTGGAGGTTCTTGAGACGATCGAATTTCTGTAATTTGTTGAAAAATTGTTATGCGAAACTATATAACACAAGACAAATTGCCATTTCTTGTATATGTGAACTGTATAATTAATGGAATAAATGATTGAGTAATTGCATATAATTAATGATAATCTAAGAAAGAGAAAAAAAGCGCTAAATAATTCAATAATTTATAAGGTGGTAATTATTTGATTACCTATGCGAGCAGCTCAGCACCTTCAGACGAAGCACAATTTGCATCGTGTGCTATTGGTTGCGCATCTTCACCTATTATCATAAGGGCAAGGTAATGGAAACCGTTTTTGTGCTAAATTAATCAGTTATTTAATATGAAAGTCTATCGAGTATTTCAGTTTTAACTGATTTAAATCTTTTAAGATTTTGAAAATTTTTCTTCCTTTACTCAAAATTTTTTCAACTTTTTTCCTTTATACTGGGCTGTGCTGTCAAATCTTTGCTGATCTATGTGATCTGCACTTTAGAAATAATCCTCAATCTAAGCAATTAGTAAATTAAATAAATTATTGTTCATGCCAGCTGGTATGAATTCCTTAATTTCAGACATTGGCAGTCAGAAAATGTTTTGTTGCAAGTATGTCAACGAGAATCATTTCCAAACACTGTTAACTTTAATCCCCTATTAAATTGCCAAGAATTTCCTCTTGTAAATGGTCTTGGCGCCACCGAACTGGTTCTCCCAAAAGCTTCTCTCATTGATGTGAGTTTGTGAAATCAAGTTTGCAGATAATCCGTGAAGGATTTTTAACACAAGAAGGCTTGATTTGAAATTCCAGATTGTATTTGTGGCAAGTAATTTTGTCAGCGAACGGGGTGATATGGCAATTTTGGATGATATTGAAGTAATTTATGAAAGTGATGGCGATGATTGTGGGATTGAACAGGAGGAACGAAAAGGACAAACGGACGAAAAAGCAGCAATAACGAGTACAAAAGAACCTGCTGCTGCAAATGTAAGTCTACAGGTCATCGGAAATTCGAATTCAAAGTTGAAAATTAAACAGTTTGAGAAACCTGTTTTGCTTGCAATAATGTTTATTTTAGATTGATGCTTCACATTCCGCAGCAAATTCTACATCACAAATAACACTTGGGGAAGAGAAATCATTTAATGAAATTAAAGCAACTGAAACAATATCGTTAGCTGCATCTGCAGCTGGATCACATTCTTCGGGACCACGTTCTGGATCTAGTGGTCCTGCTCTTCCATCATCACCTGAAATAACGCTAGTACCAGCCTCTTCAGACAAAAGTCAAGCATTCGCATCCAAGACCACTACCTCTTTATCACTCATTTGCAAAACAATCAAATGCTCATTCGAAAATCGTACGTTCATTTGAGAATTTCCTGTGTACTGTCTTAAAACTAATGCATCTAAAATTATGACATGAATTTGAATTACATTATTCGAGGAAATATGTGCAATTACAAAGAGGCGCATCAAACGGAGTCAATACGCGGCGTGACAACAAGTTTCCAAGTGGTCACTGGACAATACATGAATAAAGTTACCGGGATTAAAGAAGGAACTGGTTTGTTTTACCGTTACTGATTTAAATTAGTTGTAATGAAATGAGTGCGAAAGTAAATTTAGTTAAAGATAATTTCGAACTGGAAAAATATTTTCCACTAATTTTAAAGGAATATTCTTTCAGATAAAACTGTTTAAAATAAACCTTCCATATATGCAACAGCAAATAATGAACTAAAACAAAACAAAATTCGAATTAATTCCAGAAGGCGATTATTATGCAGCAACATTTTTATATCCAAGAGAAATGGCTGGATTAGCAGCGCATATTGCTGACTTAAAAGAACCAATCCGATTGCGATTCCAATATTACGAGGGAACACATGGCGTACAACTGAAAGGCTGTTGCGAAAGTTTGGAACACTGCTTGTTCGCATCTGATAAATTTGTTAGTGTGAGCGATAGAACATGGAAACTTACCGCATTCACTTGTCCAGCTGGTACCTCTAAGGTTAGTACCATTTTTTTTGTTTTTTCTTCTGAAAATTTCCAAGAATTCGTAATGAGAGTTTCAAAATTATCATGAAAATCTTTCCTCTGTTTGGGATCATCAATGTGGAGTTACTGTGGAATGGAGGACAAGATATGATCAGATTGTTATGTTAGAACTCCGGATCCTTAATGAGTAGAAGTGTTGAACAGATTCTGCGGAAACAAAATTTACTAATCGATCTTTCATTTTTTTCCTCTAATCGATCCTACGGCAATAATAAAACCTTCAAATAATCTCTCAAGTTTTATAGATTTTATTTGTCTGCGAAAATACAAGGACAAATCAAGGAGCTTGTGCAATAGATGATATTCAAGTGATCGAGAGTGGTGCCGTGGACTTGCGAACAGCAAGGACACTTTGCTGACTTCCGCAATTGTTCCCAATGGAATCTATACGGAAAGTTGAAAGAAATGTTTCAAAATGTGGCTGAATTTGTTTCTATTAAAATGCGAGAAATTAGAACGAATCCAGATGCCATAAACACTTTGTTGCAAGTTATGTATATTCCTTCTTCTTCTTGCTTGTTTTTCGTGAAATTTTGAAATTCTTCTAAAGCGTTATTAGAAACTGTATGGTGGAAGTTGCTTTATATTATCGATGAAACGGACATATTTAGGACGAAAGCACAATTACTTGAATTTTTCTGATTAATGACACATGAACAAAATCAAATCTTTAACTCTGCATCTGAATTTCCACACCAGTATAATTTAAAAGTGCACATTCGTTTCAGAGGACTCTCCTGTGCATTTACTCTTTAATTAGAGCGTACTGCAGATTTTAATTTGTTGATTTCTGCATAAACGATACTGCTTTCCTTTCAAAACTATTGAATTTTGGCCAAAAAATAATTTTACAGTCCGAAGATTTATGAATACTGTATTTCCTGTATTTCCGTTCGCGTACCTGTGTGTAATTTGCAGTTTCCTCCAAAAATCACTTACTACAAACCATTCACAAAATGAACAGAACATAGCAAATGACTTTTTTGCTTGTCATGATCGAAATTTCATCAAACTTCAGAACAGTTTTGAAAAGTCAAAAATTTTAGTGAAAAGCTGTTTATTTGAAAATTGTTTGCACATAGAAGCAACGATTCTACAAAATAGGCAACATTAATATTAGAAACCTCGTATCAAGATGGGAAACAGACTTAAGATAAATCAAAGCCATGGAAATATATGCAGGTTGTCACCAGCATTATGCTGGTTTAAAAGCATTCATGGTATTCATATATGAAAAGACTAATCATGCACTCAATCCCCCGATTTCTTCGAAAACCCCGCTTCTATAATAAAAAAACCAAACGATTTTCCAAAATGGCAAATCCTTTTTTTTTAAGAAGCTTGAATTCGGTTGTACAAGAAAAAAAGATTATTGTGGTTGTATTCATTTTTTATCCATATCGATCACATTGGGAAATCATAAATTACTATCTTGCCAAAAACATAAGCAATGCATAATAAGTAATGCACAACATTAAATATGAAGCTGAGTCAACTATTTGTCTTTTACGGATATGACAAGGGTATTACAAGAGAGAAGTCGAAAGCGAAAAATAGGAGAGAAAAGAAAAGGGGAACCGGAACAATATTGGTAAAATCAACATTGAAATTTGGAAATTGTGCACAATGTAACACAATTTGAACAACAGAAACTCAGTGACGGAATGTAGAACGCTTCTATCAATCGACAGCAAAGAACGCTTAAAGTGTTTTCGGAAGCCAACCATACGAATGTTAAAAATTGAAAATTTGGAAGGGGTTAACTTTTAACACATTTTATTCCTAATTTAGAACATACTTTTCGTGAATGTTTTAGTAAATTAAAATTCACGAAAGCTTCTGAATACAAAATATAGACTTTTACCACCTTTTAATATAATTTGTCACTGATTTCGTCGAGCAAATTTTATCTCGCTTTATTTTAAAACTTGCATTATGCAAACATAGAACAATTTGCAGTTCCGAGTTTTTTCTTGCTGAACAGAAGCGTTTAAAGTCAAAAAAGAGACGAAAAACACAAGACAGATCAAAAAAATTATTAAAAAAATTGTTTATATATAAAATATAAGAACATTATGCAAAAGTGTAATGTAATGTCTCACGAAAGTTTGATAGAAAGATTAGGAGAAAAAAATGAACTAGAAACAATGAAAAAGCTATTTCTGTTCTGACATATCGTCCACATGTCCAGGCGGAATACCAACAACATCTAAACTATTCAACTGTTGACTTGTTAATTCTTCGCTCAAACTGTCCGTTTTTCCAACATCCAATTCCACATCACTATTCGAGGCTTCTTCCTCTTCTTCTTCATGGCAAAATGGTGCTTCATCCATTTTAAGAACACGAACTGTAGAAAATATTAGGTACCCATTCATTCAACAAGATACCCACAAGACTATTTGTAATTATACTATCATGCTAACAGTAGTTTACAATAAAATGCCTAGTAAAGCAATCAATGAGCAACACAACAGCACAAGTACACTTTGAAAGGAATATCTCAGCCGTATTCTCAGTATTTTTCTTCAAAAGGATGATGAAAATGAATCAATAACAATTAAAAACTTTACCTTCGTTGCCGACGGAGACCTTCTGCATGGTGTGATTCATTGAAGTTAGAACAGATGCATGGTCAACAGTGGACTCATGGGGCATCAGTGTCATTGGTGCGCGGAAGAAATAAAAAAGTGGATAATGAACTAAATTACAGCAATTTGATGCATATAAATCAGCATATCGTTCAACCTTAAAAATGCAAATATAACATTCAGCCATTGAATTTTCTTTTAATGTTTTTTTTACAGCAAAAAAAGAAAGTACATAGTAAAATTTGAGAAAACACATGCAAATTCTATGCCTCCACTTCTCTGTAAGCTGAAAAAAACCGATCACGAACTTGTGAAGCAAAAAAGGTAGTCCGAGAGCCACTGCGAAAAACGGAACCCAACATGCCATACTCATTATCCATTTCATGTGTAAGAAGCTGAAATTGCATATATTGCACATTTCAAGCGAGAAAAAGAAAGCACGACTCCAATTTGAATTTTTTTTTGACATCTATAAAAGAATGCGCAAAAACATACCGTTATTGCATCAACAATATGTACAATTGATGGTTTTTCTTTTGAATTACTATCTAAATTTTTATATACATCCGCCAGTTCTGAATCCAGTAGTGTCAGTTTTTCAAATAGCGGCTTGCGTTCCGTCCATACTGTTAGTTCGCGAGCTAATTCGGGAACGACAAGGAAAGTCCGCCACCCTCTAGCCTGATAAAAAAAGAAAATGTTTTGGACAGCATAAAACAAACAGTTACTTTATGTCAAGCTAATTATTTCTTTAAATTGATATTCTCACCAAAAAGGTACATTCGACCAATATTAAGAGAAAAGAGATAGTTCAGATCTGTAAATAACGAAAATCAACAATTCACAAACCTTCTTCGATCTTAAAACATCGCCGAAAATATGATCGCCTATATATAAAACATCTTTACCGCGAGCTTTCACCAATCTTCTGAATGCATCACACGAACCTAAAATGTAGCGCAAGGTTCTATTAAAGAGCATTTCCAAAGTCTAAATCCTTTCCCTATCATTGTTAGAGAAGAACATAACCAAGTAATAACCCCAACTAATATAAAATAACGTCTAAATGAAAAATGGTCGAAACTTTAGTTTCATTATGAATTTAAAAAACAGCTATTGAGAAAAAGAACGAACCACCGGCGTAAACTTGGCCTTGTTCAAGTGGACCCATATGAGTACCGATTTTGAGAGCACTTGTTTTGGTATCTACCTGACGAAATACAGTACCCTCGGCAAACCATTTCGGTTTTTTAGCATCAACGATAGTAATATTGAAATATGAAGTCCAATCCGTCCCTAGCAAATATTCCATTACTCCCTGAAAAAATCAGACTTTCATTTCATAAGCATGTATAAAAGTCCACTTATGTATGACATACAGAACTATTTCAAAGGTGAATCTTCTTTTCACTACAAAGCTTAAATGTTCAAGAACCTCTCCACACTTTGAATATAAAAAAAATGGAATATCTGTTCAAATAAATCCTCTACT